AGAGAGAAAGAGGGAGAGGTAGAGAGAGGGAGGGAGAAAGAGAAAGAGAGAGAGAGAGAGAGAGAGAGAGAGAGAGAGAGAGAGAGAGAGAGAGAGAGAGAGAGAGAGAGGGAGAGACAGGAGGGAGAAAGAGGGAGAGAAACAGAGAGAAACAAAGAGAGAAAGAAAGAAAGACAGAGAGAGAGAGAGAGAGAGAGAGAGAGAGAGAGAGAGAGAGAGAGAGAGAGAGAGAGAGAGAGAGAGAGAGAGAGAGAGAGAGAGAGAGAGAGAGAGACAGGAGGGAGAAAGAGGGAGAGAAAGAGAGAGAGAGAAAGAGAGAGAGAGAGAGAGAGACAGAGAGAGAAAGAGAGTGAGAGAGAGAGGAGAGAGAGAGAGAGAGAGAGAGAGAGAGAGAGAGAGAGAGAGAGAGAGAGAGAGAGAGAGAGAGAGAGAGAGAGAGAGAGAGAGAGGGAGAGAAAGAGAGAGAGAGAGAGAGAGAGAGAGAGAGAGAGAGAGAGAGAGAGAGAGAGAGAGAGAGAGAGAGAGAGAGAGAGAGAGAGAGAAAGAGTGAGAGAGAGAAAAGGGGGGGGAAGAGAGGGAGAAAAATAGAGAAGAGAGAGAGACATTTATCATATCAGGCTCATCCCTTGGCCCTGTGATCACTGATCAGACGTCAGTTGTTCTTCCCTGGGCACAGTTGGCTCCTCTGATCATTTCGCAGTATTAAGCAAGATCAGCCTAAAAGCTGCGCGAGAGGAAACTTTTCCCGTACAATCTGGCAATGGGAAAAGGCAGACTGGCAAGGCATGTGTGATGCATTATCTATAACTCCCTGGGAAGACATTCTCACTGGCACTGTTGATAGACAAGCACTGGCCCTTACCAAATTACTAGCCAGCCTACAAGCAATGTATGTACCTAACAAGACATACAAGACAAAATCCACAGATCAGCCATGGTTTGGCTACAATTGTAGAATGGCATCTGGCAAGAAGATGAGAGCCTGGAACCGTTCTAAGCGCCATCCCACACGATGGAATAAAGATATTCATGCTATGGCTTGCAGGAGAATGAAAGCTGTCCAAAAATGGGCAATCAATCGATGGAAGGAGGACCTCCGGTTAAAACTCTCTGGTCTTTCAGTGGGAAGCAAAGCCTGGGGGAGCTGCATCAAACAACAACAAGGATTTTCCCCTGACGACTGCATCCCCCCTCTCAACAAGCCTGATGGATCAGTTGCAACCTCCAGCAGAGAGAAGGCTGAACGTCTGGCTTCACTCTTCTCCGAAAAGATGAGAGTACATGACCCTGACCGATATTCTCCTAGCCTGCCTCTTGTGACTCACTCGAAGCTGAGCTCTTTCGTGATCACTGAAGCAGAAGTCAGGCAGCATCTAAATGAGGTTGATGTCCATAAGGCCATAGGACCTGATAAAGTCAGTCCTTACACACTTCACAGGTGTGCCAGGCAGCTGGCTGCTCCTCTTGCCTCACTTTTCCAAACATGCCTGAGATACAGTAAATGGCCTAATATTTGGAAGAAAGCAAACACTGTGGCAGTACACAAAAAGAAGAGCAAATCAGATCCAAGTAACTATCACTCCTTTCCTCCGTTGGCAAAATATTTGAAAAGATTCTAGCAAACAAACTGACTCTTTATTTTGATAAAAAACATCTACTCAGTACAAGACAATTTGGTTTCAGGTCACAGAGATCGGTTTCAGACCTATTTCTGCACCTAACCACGATATGGCACCAAGCTCTTGATACTCGCAAGGACGCCTTTGTTGTTGCACTCGATATAGCAGGAGCATTTGATAGAGTGTGGCACAAGGGCTTTGCGTCGAAACTGAAGAGTTTTGGAATTGACGGCAACCTACTAATGCTACTCGAGGATTACCTCCAAGAAAGAACATTAAGAGTTGTCGTTAATGGTCACACATCCAGTGAATTCCCATTCAAGCCAGTGTACCTCAAGGCAGTGTAATCGGACCACTTCTGTGGAACGTTTACTTTAATGATATCCTGCAGCTCATCCCTGAGGCTTAAGCTTACGCTGACGACTGAACTCTCACTTTCACCTGCGATACCCAAAACCGCGCAGAGGCATTTAGACACATAAATGACACACTTGACTATATAATGTATTGGAGTAAAAAGTGGCAGGTTACTCTGGCACCAGATAAAACCCAAGCAATGGTTATATCTAGACGTCAGACATCGGACAACGCCCATCCATCATAAAGCTTGATAACAAACCCATCACTATTAGCAAGGATATCAACATTCTTGGCATGCAGATTGATAATCACCTAACCTTCACCAGTCACGTCAAAGAGCTAGCAAAGAACGCAGCAAGAAAGTTGGCCTGTATACGACGCATCGCTCCTCTGCTAGACAGCAAATGATGCGCAGTCCTTTACAACTCCCAAGTCCGCTCTTTGATGGAGTAATCGCCGCTCGCCTGGCTGTCTTCCAAGCCAACTCATCTTGCCCTCCTGGACACCGTTCAGAACAGAGC